GACTCAAGTGTGGCAACAGTGGTGAGGTTGGCCCAGGATAGGACATTGTTTCGTTCTGCTGTGAGTCAGTGCTGACTCGATGGCAGCTAACAACAACAGGGAGCACAAATACTAAGGTTGTTACACATAAGGACATTTGTAACATTGAGCTAGGTATTTTATGACTGATTTGGATTTACTGGATTTTATAAATGAGCTGCAGTGTTCCAAATTTTAGTCCAAAGTACAAACTAAAAGCCCAAGTGCGTCTCCAATAGTTCACTGATCCTACTGAGCCCTTCTAGGGGAGATTCATCTATATTTTTGTTTGGAAGCAGAACACTTTTACTTGGAAGTAGAACCAACCAGTGGTAAGAATGGTAAGGCAAGTAGATTATTTAGGAGGAACCAGCAGCAAGGAAAATGAGATAGGGAATGAAGAAAAGCTAGAAAAAGGCAGATTACCATGGTGGGCTCCCAACCTTACAGAACTCAATCTTGGCTAAGGAGCCCTGTAGAATAAACACAAAAGCTGTCCCTCTGAGGGACTGGAACATTTATCAGCTGATTCCTTTTCGGTGAGGGTTACCCAGGCGGTATTAACTCCCCAGTACTCTGGAGAAAGTCCTGAAGCAGAAAGGCAGAGTGGGGAACATGCTTTAAATGGGATTTATTTGTCTGTCTGATTTTACCCCACAGCTGAACTAAAATCAAGAGATGTGACAAGGTTACATCTGTCAAGAACACAAAGAGCATCTCTCAAATGAACCTCCACAGATAACATCTGATGACATAACATACAAGTTCCAGAGCAATTTCATATAAACAAGAGGTTTTTTTTAATTAGTGAAACATTTCATTTACAATAATTGTACAAATAAGCATGTAAAGATATTACATGAAATGAATCTCTTGTAAAAACTTTCAGACTAAAGAAGTTGGTAGAATTCATCAATTTCTTCATCACCGACTTTGGTGGCTGGTGTGTACAAGAACATTTGGATCAGTGTTCTCTTTACTCCAAAAGACTAACAGGCCATTTCCTCCAGTAATGTTTAGAACTCCGAGTGTGAGTCATCTTTTGCAGAACTCATTCATCAGTCTATTTTTTTTTTTTTAAATTAGCTTTCCTTAAATAAAAACTTCCAATAGCTGTGTAGAACCTGGTGCATTGACTATTAGTGATTATTTTAGAACATGAGGAAATAAAGTCTAATGTGAATCCTGGAGCTAAAAGTGGCAAAGCCTCTTTCCTCTTCGGTACCAATCTCCCAATTTTCTCTGAAAGAAGTGAAGCCTTGTTTCCTCTAAGTTGATTATCATAACACTGGTTGCTTGTATTCTGTGAGCATGACAATACTGACAATCGGAAAGCCTTTGGGACCTTTCAGCAATAATGGCTGCAGGAAAAGACGTGTGGGGAGCACCAGAGCCATCGAGTTGATTCCGACTCCTGCTGAACCTATAGGCCTGAGGAGAAGTGCTTCTGAGGGCTTACAAGATTGCAAGTGCTTATGGGAGCAGCCAGCCTCATCTTTCTCCCACAGAGCAGTGAGTGGGTTTGAACCACCGATTTTCACTTAGCAATCCACTGCACCACCAGGACTTCGTAGTGTGTTATTTTCAACCTAAAGCTAAATAGGTACATTCTTCATCCATTAATAATTCTGACTGCAGTTTATAGGTTTGCCCTAGATTTTCTGAAGGAAAATATCAAATGTGATTTTAAGCCAAGTAGCTATAATTAAACAAATATGGAAATATGGTTTTGGTCTAATGTAAAAAATCCTGAGGTACTTATGACTATCAACTCATGGGTCCCTCTATCACCTTACCCCACAAATCACCCAGCCCATAGCCCTTTACCCAATTAATTCCTATCTAGTATGCAAGTAGTCAGAGATTGAGTTAATTTCCTGCAGAATTCATGAACTGAAAGTGAGCACAAAATGCAACATGCCACGTTTTAAAAGAGAAAATCAGGTGCATCAGTATGATTTATTGGATGAGGCTATCCTTTTACCCTGGATTCCGAAGTCTATACTGTTGGGGTGAAGTGACAGGAGGAATACAATATAAAATGGTATGGATTTTGAGCATACAGTTTGGTAAATGAAGCATACATGATAAGGTTAGACCAAGTACATTAACAGTTGATGCAAGGCATTATAGACCACAACAGTGGTCACAGAACTCTGGAGCTACCAGCACCCAACCACAACAAAACTACTATAACAAGAGTTTTTTAAATACTTGCTAGATGTATGAAAAAAAAACAAAACAATTTGTCAAGGACCACATGATTTTATAAAGCATAGCGGCCAACCACGCCAGCCTGTTCTTTATCTTTGACCTGCTGGCTGGGATGTTCTCATCACTTGCCAGCACCAGGTTCTCTCCCTCTTCTCTACAAAAGGCAATGAGCCTGTGAGAATGCTGAGGTTTTCCCCATGCCGCAGGCCAGGTCAGGACAATGTATACAGTTCCTTCTCCAAGCTCAGACAATGGTTAGGTCCGAATGAGGGGTGCTCTCTCATCTGGCGTTCCCTGAAACACACACAAGATAGATGAGGATGTTAGCGTTCATGCCAGCAACTTCTCCCTGGTTGTGAAAACTTAGGAAGGAGGAGATGGAAAGAGGAGAGGATGATAGGAAGCCGGGTTGTCTCTCTCTTCTCTTGCTTGGCCAGTCACTTCTTGTTTTTTATGATGCAGACCTAATCTCAAGAAGACTGTCCTTAACCATTTCAGACCCCAACATTGGAGCTCACCCTCTGTGTTTACCTGAGCTATAATAACATTTATCACATACTGTTAAATTTGCCTCCTACTGGCTTGAAACCTACTAGAGAAAAGTGTCTGGAAGATAGAGCTGCCCAGTAATTGCTTGTTTGTTGAATACATGAATAGAGTTAATCATAGTAGCAGTAAAACACTTACACAGGATTTTGTTTGTGCTTAAAAAAATCTCAGTGACTGTACAAAGCCAAACTGGAAGTAAGATCCAAAGATATGGCAAAGTAAGATCCAAAAAGGTAAAATAGTTTGTCCCCCGGCTAATTCCAGTTATAAAGTGATTTGTTACTGTTAAGTGCTGTTGAGTCAGTTCTGACCCATAGCAACTCTCTATAGGATTTCTGAGTAGCAGCTGGTGAGCTTGAACCACCAACCTTGTGGTTCAAGCAAACTACAATGCAGCGCATTAACCCACAGTGCCCCACCATGACAGTGGTGGAAGGCAGGAAAATCTGATCTAACACTATACAGATGGTTTCAATCTATTTCATTTTCTACTTCCCGTTCACCTCATACTTAGTTGAGGTGTCTATGGATAAAGAAGTCTTTGTTGGCATAAAGGGACACTGCTTAGAATTTAAGAAAGGCTTCTAGAGAAAAAACAAACAAACAAAACTCATTGAACTGCTGGTCACATAGGAAGGCCAACTTAACTACTACTCCCATCTGTTTGGGGCTATTCCCATTCCTCCTGGATAATAATGACTCTCATGCTCCAATCCTTTATTATGCAATAATGACCTAATAGTAGGTATCTTCTGGTACATCAAGGATTGTTTCCCAGGCAGTTTGCATGTTCCTTGGTATATAATTTTGGAGCTATTTTATCATAGTTAATAATAATGTTTTTGAGTTCTTACTATATGTTAATACTGGGCCAAGTGTTTTATGTGTAGTACATCATCTAATCTTCACAAAAATCTTGTAACTGAGGCTCTATTATCCCCTCTTCTACAGATGAACTGAGGCAGTTTCTAGGATCACACAACTAAGTGGCAGACCTGGGACTTGAACCCCTGCAGTCTAACATCAATGCCCAGGTGTGTAACTGGCATATGAGATGGTTTCAAAAAGTTCATGGAAAAAGTGAAATTAAAAGACACTGAAGTTTTTCCACAAAGCTTTTAAAGCCCCTTCATATTCTCCCTCTTCTTTGGTTATTGTTTTCACAGATATAAAGATTATACTCAGATAATACATCCAGAGATTGCATTTCTACCAAGAGAGCCCCAAATACTAGATGGGACCATTTTATCACCACACCTTTGATTTTTACTCCATTTTCCTTACTGTCATTGCTTCCCACTGGGCACAGGAACAGTACAATCAGGAAATCACTGTGCCCAAATAAAAGCTCAGAATCCTTCCTAAAGAACCAGGGACAGCTCTTTAATGAGAAAGTCTTCCAGTAAAGCTACTCAGTAAAGGAGGAATTCCTTCACTACTCACCTCATCCATGGATCCCTGTCCTCTGCACACAAGTCCAATGAAGATCAAACCAAAGAATACACCGAGTGCCATGATGATGTAGGGTATGTTGGTGACGATCACGGTAGTGTTAAGCGCAGCCTTCAGGCGATCTGCAGTCTCTTTGTCAATTAGAACACTCTAGAGAGAGAAAATAATAAGCCCTTGATTATTAAATATCCAGGTACAATATTTTTTCTGTCTTCCAATTCATGAAACAAAATTTAGGTATGCCCTCCAGCAAGCAACACATATATATTAAAAATCCACTTAGGAATTAGACAATTCAGATGGAACATTTATTCATTAACATCTGCTCTTTTCTCCTGAACACATTAAAAATAAGTATCTCAAAATAGGTTGGGAAAATGAAGGAAAATTATTCAGAAATATTGAAAAAATACGCTATGTTTTCTGTCAGACAATTCAAACTCTTTCAAAATCCAGTATGGTGTAAATTCCTTTCAGAAGTTTTCTCTGGCTACCTCAGTTCTGGTTAAAGACCCCTTCTCCGTGCTTCCATTGTGCTCTCTAAACTCTTCTATCATTGTCCTCATACTCTCTATTGTAACAGTTTGTTTATCTGTTGGTTCCCCCAATTGTGAGGTCTCTAAAGGCAAGGTTGACTTTTATTTTAGAAGCCCCAACAATGAATATGACACCAAGGACACAGTAGGTACTCAATTATTGTTGGTTGTGTACATGTATGGAGAAATGAAATACTCTATGATGGGAAATAGAAAGTACAATTACCCTATTGGTTAGATCTTTAGTAAGCAGGACTAGAGATCTTGAAAGAAAGTGTTCAGGTAAGTTGTGAGACTAACCAGAATTCTAAAAGGTATTGGTAACTAGGGCAGTCCACTAAAATATCACTTCTTGTACTCAGAGGAGAGGTATTTAACACTTTAAATTTCATGGGTGAGGTATCTGTAGAGCTTAATCTCATCAAAACTTTGAGCAACACATGAGAAGACATTTAGCTTACATTAAGCCTATTTGAGGAGTCCTTGGGTGGTGCAGATGGTTAAGCTCTGGGCTGTTAGGCAAAATATTGGCAGTTCACATGTACTCAGAGATGTCTGGATGACAGCCCTGGTGGTCTGCTTCCAAAAGGTCCCATAAGTCAGAATCTACTCAAATCAGTACGTCTCCTAACTGCCAATGTCCCTCTCCAGAGTTTCCCCCTTGTAAAAAAGGACGTGACACTATCCACGCTACTTCCAGGTTATTTTATGTTTCTAGAGAAGAGAAAAGTCAATTTCTTTCTAAAATACAGTGAAAGCACAAGTTTTCACTCCATTTTCTGGATTCAATCTAGAGTTTATTTAAAAAGCAAAGGAAAAATACCAACAGAGAGGGAAGGGGCCATCACCTCAAGTATCAATGCCATCCCCTCTGTACACAGGGTAGATAAGGATGGGCAACTTAGACACTGGCTACCTAAAATGAGGGGGCAATAAAGGCATGAAGTGATGGGTTCACAAGGTTTCACGAGGGAGTTTAGTTTAAGGGTGTGTGAGGGAAGATAGAGTCTCCCACTGAATAGATTTCATCTTGTCTAGATGGGTCTGGTGAAAAGAGATGGGGATAAGATTCGTATAACTCAATAGTGAATAATTGTTATCATGACTAATTGCGATGGTCACAATTTTAAAGGTAAAAGTTTTATAACAAAAACGGGGGAACAGTTCATCTTACAGTCCAGAAACAGAAACAAAGGACCCTAGGGCCATCAAGACCACAAGCGGAATGAGGGACCTTATCCAGAGAAGCAGTGACAGCAGAGTGGAGGCAGACATGGGACATGGAGAGAGGGAGCAGCTGAGGACTCTAGATTCATGGGAAGAGAGGGATTGAGAGCTTGTGGCCAGGAGGCAGACTTGCAGAATGTGCCCTTTGGTGGTGTAAATTATTACATATGCCTGAGTGTTTAAAAAAAAAAAAAAGCTAAAGTGAATAGTGAAAAATACTGTTAACTGGTGGTACATGGAGGGGATTATAATCATTGTAATAAAACAAGGTGTATGATTTGTTGAATGTAAAACTGATGATCTGCCCTGTAAACTTGCACTCAATTCACAATAAAAACTTAGAGATAGAGGGGACTTCAAATATGCCATAATTATGAAAATACACTGGCAGAAAGGGGCCCTTTTGCCTTCCCCGAAAGTCCTAATTTCATGCCTATCTCCACAGACAATAACAATGATGACCCAGGCACAATTATAAACAGGTCCTACGAATTGACAAATATTGGCTGAATTTTTCCTATAAAACAATTAAAGGTTTGTCTTTGAGATTTTATCACAAAACCTTCAAAAGTTTATGACTATAGCTGTGTGCTTGACGACCGGGGTGCAGGTCCAATGAGGTCCAATGGAAGGCTGTGCTTAACCAACCCTTTGGTTGGTTGATGATGCATGAAGGGATTGTAACCATGGCAATGAAATGATATACGATAGGATGAATGTAAAGCTAATGATCTCCCATGTAAACTACCACATAATTCACAATAAAACAGTAAAAAAAAAGTTTATAACTATAACCCGCTGCCATCAAGGCAACTCCGAGTCAGCGGGTTTCTGAGGCTGTAACATCTTTACAGGAGCAGAAAACTTTATTGCATGGAGCAACTGGTGAGTTTGAACTACCAACCTTGTGGTCAGCAGCAGTCCAGAGCTTATCCTACAGGGCCACCAAGGAATTGTTATTCATAAAACTGTCAATAACACACACACACAAATGTGATTGTTATTTATAATGATACCTATCAATATAGAATCACACTAATATCAGCCAAAACAAGGCCAGGGCCAACTGTGGAATAATTGGTCATATGCAAGTTCAGGCTGAAGCTGAAGAAAATTAAAAGAAGTCAATTAGAGCGAAAATATGACCTTAAATATATCCCACTTGAATTTAGAGAGAATCTCAAAAACAGATTTGATGCATTAGGCACTAATAACTGAAGAACAGAGGAGTTGTGGTATGACATTAAGAACACCTTGTTGTTGTTGCCAAGTGCTGTCGAGTGTAGCCCTGTATAGGGTTTCTGATGAGTGGCTGGTGAGTTTGAACTGTTGACCCTGTGGTTCAAATGACCTTGTGGTGCCACAGGACTGTATTCAAGAGCACCATACATAAAAAAGTAACAAGTTATTAAAAAGACGGGAAAGAAAAAGACCAAAGTGGATGTCAGAAGAGACTCTGACACTTGCTCTTGAGCTTCAAGAAGCTAAAGAGACTTTAGTAAATGAAGTAAAAAGAGTAAAAGTAAAAAGTAAAAGAAATTAAGTAATGAGCTAAACAGAAAATTTCAATGGTAACTCGAGAAGACAAAGTCAAATATTATAATGAAATGTGCAAAGACCTGGAGTTAAAAAACCAAAAGGGAAGAACACACTCAGCCTTTCTTAAGTTGAAGGAACTGAAGAAAAAAATTCAAGTGTCGACTTTCAATATTGAAGGATTTTATGGACAAAATTTAAAATGACACTGGAAGCATCAAAAGATGATTGAAGGAATACACAGTCACTGTACCAAAAAGAATAGGTAGATGCTCAGTCATTTCAAGAGGTACCACATGATCAAGAACCTATGATGCAGTTGATGAACTTGACCTACACCTATGGAAGCAGTAGCTCAAAAGAGGGAACAAGTCCTTACAGCAAGAATCATCCCCACCCCCTCCACACACAGAGTAGACAGGGATGGGCAACGTGGACATTGGCTACCCAAAATGGGGGGTGGGGGGCTACAAAGGCAAGAAGTGACTGGCTTACAAGCTTTCAAGAGGGAACCTAGATCCAGAGGGCCTGGAGGAAGGTAGAATCTCCAGTGAGTAGTATTAAATCTGACTAGGCGGAGCTGATGCAGTGAAATGCAGACAGGTCTCTTGTGACACAATAGTGAATAATTGTTATCAGGACTGTTTGTGAGGGTCGGAAATGTAAAGGTGGATGTTTTATAGCAAGGAGGGGAGTGATTAACTTTTCAGTCTAGGAGTGGAGGTCCCTAGGACCATCAAGGGAGAAGAGCAGAGAGCGGGACCCTACCCAGAGAAGCAGTGATGCCTGAAATGGAGCCAGAGATGATGACGTGGAGCGATGGAGCAGCTGGAGACTTTAGATCCAGAGAGGGAGAGCGACTGTGTGCTGAAGACCTGGGGGGTACGGGGGAAGGATTGCAACCATGGCAATGAGACGATATATGATAGAATGAATGTAAGACTGATGTTCTCCCTTGTAAACTATCACATAATTCACAATAAAACATTAAAAAAAAAGAACCTATGATGCGGAAGGAAGAAGTCCATGCTGCACTGAAGGCACTGGAGAAAAACAAGACTCTAAAATTGACTGAATACAAATTGAAATCTTTCAACAAACTGATGCAGTGCTGGAGACACTCACTCATCTATGCCAAGAAATTTGGAAGACAGCTACCTGGCCAACTGATTGTAAGAGATCCATATTTGGGTCCATTCCAAAGAAAAGTGACTCAGTGGAATGCAGAAAGCATTGAACAATATCATTAATATCACATTCAAGTACAATTTTGCTGAAGATAATTAAAAAATGGTTCACAGGGAGCTGCCAGAAACTCAACCTGGATTCAGAAGAGAATGTAGAATGAGCGATATCACTGCTAACATCAGATGGACCTTGGCTAAAAGCAGAAAATACCTTGAGTTTTATTGACTATGATTGTGTGGATCATAACACACTATGTATAACACTGTGAATAGTAGGTATGCCATACTTACTTGTGCTTATGAGGAACCTGTACATAGAACACGAGGTAGTGATTAGAACAGAATGAAGGGACACTGAGTGATTTAAAACCTGGAAAGATATGTGTCAGAGTTGTATATTTTTATTATACTTATTCAATCTGTATGTTGAGCAAATAATCCGAAAAGCTGGATTACATGAAGAAGAACCTGTCATCATTAATAAATGAAAATCTTCACAATTGCACCAGTAAATAACATGATACATGGAGAAAAGACTGAAGTGGTCAAAGATTTCATCTTGCTTGGCACCACAACACTCATGGAAGTAGCAGTCAAGAAGTCAAATTAGGCAAATCACCTGCAAAAGACCACTTTAAAGTGCTAAAGAGCAAAGATGTCAGTTTGAGGACTAAAGTGCACCTGACCCAAGCTATGGTATTCTCATATGCATGTGAAAATTGGACAATGAATAAGAAAGACAATGAATAAGAAAGAACCAATGCATTTGAATTATGGTGTTGGAGAAGAATATTGAAAGTTATCATGGACTGCTAGAACAAACAAATATGTTTTGGAAGAACTAGTTGGATTGCTCCTTAGAAGTGACGATGACAAGACTTCATTTCTTGTACTTTGGACATGTTGTTAGGAGGGACCAATTCCTGGATAAGGACATCATGCTTGGTAAAGTGGAGGCTCAGGGAAAAAGTGGAAGACCCTCAACAAATTGACTGACACAGTTGCAGTAATAGTGAGCTCAAACATGACAGTTGTGAAGCTGGTGCAGGACTGGGCAGTGTTTCATTCTGTTGAGCATAGGGTCACTATGAATCAGAACTGACTTGATGGCACCTAACAACAATAACAACAACACCAGTATCATGGGAAATAGGCCACAAAAGGATATAAAACTGCATCTACAATATTATATTAGCTATGTGCTTATCCTACAGTGTTCTGGTATGGTACTGTAGGATAAGCACTGGACTACAAGTTTCGTTTGAACTGTAAGGCTGGTGATTCAAACTCACCAGCTGCTCTTAGGAAACCCTATACATGGTCGCTATGAGTCGGATCTGACTCAATGGCACATAGCAACAACACCATGTAATATCACAACCAGAAAACTACTGGGAGACAATTGGTAAATTAGGCTAGACATACTAGTAATTTAGTATGGTGCTGTGGGTTAATGCGCTGGACTGCAAAGTCAGTTAGATCCTCAAGGTGGTGGCTCAAGCTCACCAGCCATTTCTCAGAAACCCTATACAGGGTCACTATGAATCAGAACAACAATAAGCTCTATAAAGAGCACATGTTAATTTTATGGGAGGAAAGCATTAAATTGTTTTAAATTTTAGCTTTGCATTTTGCTTCTTTCATAATCAGCTTCCCAAAAGGGAGTTTCACTTAAATAACAATCTTGAGAAGGGAATTTTCCGTCATTTCTCCAAATGAAATCTCAGACATAGATTCATGTAAATATTTAATGATTTTTTTTCCTGAGGACAAACAGACTATTTTTAAAAAAATGTTTATAGTATGTTATCTTTATTTTTCCTAGATCCTGGATATAATGTCTGAGAAGCAGTATACTCAATACTTTCCTAAATCTCGTTTAGATTTTTTCCAGTTTAGATTCTTTACAGCATCATCTGTAAACGTGAGAACACACATATTTTGATAGAATTCTAACAAACTCACTGGGTATTATTACTACACAAAACTAAATTTTATATGCAACATGGCCTTTATTATAAAACTTAGCCTTCTTTACAAGGCAGCTTATATATAAACAATGGTGGTTGTGTGTTGTCGAGTCAGTTGTGACTCACAGCGACCCTGGATAGGGTTTTCAAGGAGCTACTGATAGGTTTGAACAACCAACCTTGTGGTTAGCAGTCCAGTGCTGCTCCTAAATCACCAAACCAGGGTCCTACAAGTTACTTTTTCTGTGTTTTGCCCTAACCATTAAGTGTTACAATGAACCCTACTCCCATTGCTTTTTACCAAACCCTTAACGCCTCCTCCTGTTTAGAAGACAGACACAGGTGGAAAACCTCAACTGTTTTGGGTGACCCTGAAATGGATACATCAAATACCAGAAGGTTCAGTGTTGACCAAAAGAGGAGAGAGGGTTCTTAGTAAACTTTGTTTTACCGGGTCTCAAAATTCTGTGACAAAGTTTGGTCGTTTCCGTTTAAAAAGTACTGACTTTTAAAACCAAAAACTTAAAATTGCCACACACAAAAGAAACAAGTGGTCCACAAAAACATTCCTTTCCTTCTGAGGGTTTTACAATACTTTGTTTTTATTAACCAGTCTTTTAAAACTTAAATGGTCAAATCAGACAAACAGTTCTGAGATCACTGATGAAGACGGGTTGCAGGTGTTAAGGATCATGTTCAGTTAGCCTCTGAGCTTTCTGAGCAGACTTGTGTTCTCGCCATCTCCAGCCGCCATTTTGTCTACTGCCTTGATGGCACCCACAGAAACAGTCTGTCTCCTATGGCAAACAGTGAAAGAACCTAGAGGAAACGAGTCTGAGAAGCTCTCAGAACACATGGGCTTGCTGGGAACTATGTCAACAATGGCAGTACCAGCAGACTTGAAGAATTTGGGGCCACCTTCCAGCTTCTTACCAGAATGCTAATCTGCCTTCTCTTGGAGCTCAGCAAACTGGGCAAACAGGTTTTAAAAATACATCTTTTCCCTTTCCTCAAATCTTAAATCACACAGAGCTATAATAATAGACATCATAATGGAAGTTTTCCAAACTGGTACCCCCAGGACTTACCTCATTTAGATACATCACTGGGAAAACGAGCGTTTGAATGTTTCCAGTTTCACTATAAAGATAAAGGATGAAATTGTGTTACAGACATCATCACACCACACTAGTGGCACACTCTGGACAGACAGGTTCATATGAACATCCAGTATACTCATTTCATTAAATAATCCAAATGTTATTACTGGCTTCTTAGTTATTTTTTTGCAAACATATATAAATCAGAAGTTAGATTCCAATATTCTGTCAGTGTAGTAATTCAAGTGCTGCACATTTAGATAAAGTGTAATGATCAAAACATAAGATGCTGAAAGTAGATTCATCAAAATGATTACTATTTTCCTAACAGTCACCACCCAGAGGCTACCCACAGCAGAAAATGCCACAGCTGTCCTCCACAGTTGAAAGATGTGGCCATCTCCTTCCGGGGTTTACAATTAAGATTACCCAAAGAATCTAGTCTTTTCCTTGGCCCCTGAGAGAAAACTAAAACCCATTGCTGTCAAGTGGACTCTAACGCATGGCAACCTCCCAGGTTACAGAGTGGAGAGAGCTGCTCCATAAGGCTTTTTGGCTATCATCTTTACAGAAGCAGATCACTAAGCCTTCCCTCCCTGGCACTGTTGTTGTAGTTAAGTGCTGTCGAGTCAATTCCTACCCATAGCGACCCTATACAGGGTTTCCGAGACTGTAAATCTTACGGGAGCAGAAAGCCTCATTTTTCTCCTGAGGAGCCGCTGGTAGTTGCGAACTGCTAACCTTGAGATTAGTGGCCCAGTTCATAACCATTACGTTACTAGAGCTCCCTGGCACTGCTGGGAGGTTAATATTGCCAACCTTTAGGTTAGTGGTTGAGCGCAAGCCTTTCATGCCACCCAGTGACCTTGGTTCCTGAAAGCTAGCCTTCAAAACTTCGGAAATTCTCCAGTGTTTAAAGGGTCTTGAAGAACTGCACACCATACTTAATAGGTTATGTGAATGGGGTGATTGAGGTGTGGCAGGCCATGACAGGAAGACCCACACAACACGATATAAGCTGTCTGCAGAGAAGGAAGGAGGTCATGATTCAATCAAGCATGACTATGTAATGGGACCCCCAATAAAGGCTCTGGACATGGAAGCTCCCTGGGCTTCCTGGCTACTGAAAGATATGGTGCACATGAAAGAGGAATGCATTCCTTTTTGGAACTTGGAAGGTCTGTGTTAGGAGCCCTCACAGACCCTCCACTTCTCTTTCATTTGTATCCTTTTTGCTATGATAAGACTGTAATTGTTAGTACCACGCTTTCTGTGAATTCTGAGTCATTCTAGTGAACTGTTAAACTCAAGGGAGTAGTGGGAGCCTGGCCAGAAGAGAGGGGGCCTGGCCACCCTCAAGCTTGTGGCTAGCATCTGAAGGCTTTGGCAGATTGGGCAATGTGGAAGACTGTGGCCTTTAACTTGTAAGATCTGACCTAGCTCTAGGTGGCTAGGCTCAGAGGCAGAAGGGCTGCCTACGCAGCTGGTGTCAGAACAGAAGTGGAACAGGGGAACAGAACTTGGTTGGATTAAATTGAATTCAACTGTTTTCAGAGAAGTAAGATATGAGATTTGGTTTCCTAGCGTATGTCAAATGCTAAAAGTAGTACCTGATCCGTGGAAAGCAGGTACCATTAACATAATAAGTAAAGTTCAAGACCCTATGAAAATAAAGATCATGCCCTAAATGGCAGGGGAGAGTAGAGGTAGAAGAGGTGGATTGTACTCACAACTACTCTCTGCATCTGTTAAAAATAAGCAGAACTTACACAAATTCATCTAATTTCCTGACGTAAACGTTGATTTGGAACCTCTTGGCTGCTCTTAGGATAATTCCAGTCAACTGCAAATCAGAGAAGTGGAAAGAAAACAACAGACTTATTAAAACCACAAACAAAATGTTTACATAGAGCATCATTACTAGGTAGTTCTGCTAAACAGGTTGGCCATTACCAAGTTTGATATGCAAATGTGGACAAGGGAGAACTGTTGACTGTTCTGAGTGCCAGGTAAACCTTCTGAAACTTTCCTGAGCATGCACGAGGATCCTTGGGGATCTTGTTAAAATGCAGATTCTGATTCCACAGCTCCAGAGTAGGTCCTGAGGTTCAGTGTCTCTAAGAAGATCCCAGGCTGCTGCGGTCAGCAATTCACACTCTGAATAGCAGCACCCTAGAGGATTCCAGCAGGGGGGAGAGCCAATAGATACCTTGTGGGTCTGAACATCCATATGGATACACAGTGAGCTTTCAGGATGGTGGCGCCGACTGCCCAAGAAGAGAGTCAAGAATGCTCAGCACCCACCTAACGGAACTAGAGCAGCTGTCTTCCCAATGCCCCTACCTCTCCATCCTTGCACCAAGGTTATGGGACTACATTTATCCCTTGATGGCAAGCTCTGCCAACAGTTTGGCTCATGAAAACTAGCCAAGTAAAATTGACTAAGTGGTGGCTAGGAGGAAACAGAAAACCACATCTAATCTTATTCACAAAAGACCACTGGTTTTCCAGATGTAAATGCACTGAGTGTAGTTAAAGTGAAGTGTCCTAGAAGAATATGCTTTGCGTTTTCTTGTTCCCTGGGGCTGACAATCCCAAGAATGAAGTGATCTGGCCTTCAGTTAGGTTCCTACAGTGCAGACTCTCATATGAAGAAATGACCTTCTAATCTTTTTAGAATGGGTTTACCTTTTCTCCTCTATTATTATACAATTAAATATATATTGATATTTTAGGCTTTTAAAATTAATAATCTCAAATAATACACTCTCAGAAGTATCTATAGAATTTGGTTTGCCAAAAGTGACTGGAGCTAACATATATACATTTCAATTTCAACCAGAGTATTTCTAGCAGTGAGTGAAGCAGAGTGACATCTAGTCTTGCTGATCTGTACCCCAATGGGAGAAATGATTATATGCGCAGGTCTAAAGCTGGTAGGAGAAAAATGGCCAGATTACATGAGTCTAGTCTCAGTTGTTTCCAACTTTCACAGTTGCTTTTTTGTAAAAGTAGGTTCCCTGATATTTCTGTATATTGTTGTTGTTGTTGTTAACAACAGTTCTGACTCATAGTGATCTTGTATAGAATTTCCAAGGAGCAGCTGGTAGGTTTGAACCACTGACCTTGTAGTGTGTAGTCTAGTGCTTATTCTAGAGCACCACTCCAGGAGTCCAAAATTTAGTACCATTCTTTTAGCTCTTAAAGTTTAGAGTCTGCCCTCAAGCCCATGTAAAGCAGCCTAAAGGCATGCTCTTTTCATGCATTTCCACCGTTCTGCTTTTGTTCATGCTGTACTAACAAGATAATAAACACAGAGTGAATGGTAATAAGTCTGGCAAACAGCATATGCTCAGTGAGTTCAGGTGAAAGAGAAAACCAGAGGTCTAGAGAGAACCCTCCCTAAAGTCTTACAATAACGGAATTTATGCTGCATCAGGCTTACTCCCATCCAAAAATCAATACTGTGCTACAGGGAGTCCTGGTGTGGTGTTGTGGGTTAATGTGCTGGACTGCAAAGTCACTTTGAACTGCAAGGTTAGTGGTTCAAGCTCACCAGCTGCTTCTTGGAAACCCTATACAGGGTTGCTATGGGTTGGAATCGACTCAATGGTACTTAACAACAACAACAACAGGGCTCCCTAGAAGCCACAACAAGCTCTCAGCAAGCATTTGCTAGATATGAGTGTGAAAAACAGGGAGAGATAGAGAGGAACCCACCTAGGATCGCCTGGCTTCCCGGGCAAGGGATGTTGTGAATTAAACAGGGGAACCAAGTGAATTCGGCCTCTACCTGAGGCTCAAGTCCAGCTGTGAGAACAGCTGCTGGGCTGACTAGGCAGATGTCAAACTAAGGTAGAAGAACATCTGCTCAGCTACTGGCACTTGCTCTTAGAACCCAGGGCAAGTGAGTCCCTGAGTATCTGTACCTTCTACTACTTCCTTAGTCTCAAATAGAAAGTATTTCCCAATTTACAAATTAAAGTGGACCTGAAAATCAATTTTCTAGTCAGCATTGATTTCTGTATATTGTTGTTAAGTACTGAGGAGTCAGTTCCGTCTCATAGTGACCCTGCACAGGGTTTCCAAGGCTGCAAATCTTTACGGGAACAGAAAGCCTCATCTTTCTCCCGTGGAATAGCTGGTAGTTTTGAACTGCCAACGTTGAGGTTAGCAGCCTGATTCGTAACCACTACACTACCAGAGCTCAGCCTTCTAAATACAAGGCTATAAGACTATGCATGCCATTGCACTGAGCTGAGTTTTCCTCATGAAGAAAGACAATATGGTTCTTAGGAGTGGTAAGAATGAACCTGTTGTACACTGCAGAGATAGAACAACATGTATACTGTGTCATCAGGAAGCAGCACATACTCACAGGATTAATGTCCACAAATGTCTCATGATGGTCCTTGTTTGGATGCATGCCTGCTATGGCAGAAAGAAACTTCTCATCTGCTTGGTAAAAGTGTGGGGCAGACAAAATAATGGGTGCACCTGCAGTTTGAGGAAAACAATGAGAAAATAAATATAAAGTTTGTGATCACAAGCCTGATCCTCAAAGGGAAAAAAAAATAGCTAAGCATAATTTTAAAAGGGGGTGTTGTTATTAAGTGCCGTCTAGTCAATTCTGACTCATAACGACCCTGTGTAGGAGTAGCTGGTAGGTTTGAACCACCAACTTTGTGGCTAGCAGTCCAGTGCTTAGCCTATAGCGCCATATCATGATCCTAATTAATGAGGATGTTGTTGTTGTTAAGTGCTGAGGAGTTGATTCCGACTCACAGCGACCCTGTATAGGGTTTCCAAGGAGTGGTTGGTAAGCTTGAACTGCAGATTTTGTGGTTCATACTGACCTTGTAGTCCAACACATCAACACACAGCACCACAGCAGGACTAAAATTCCATTCTGTAAGTCCTGTTTCAGGATTTATTCTTTATTTTCTGACCTCTTATTCATTCTAAATTATTTTACGCCACAATATACATTGTAGGCCTGAATACATTCTTCAACATTTACCGAACCTTTAAGGCGTGGAAGGAAAGATGAGGCTGTCTGCTCTTGTAGAAATTTACATTCTCAAAAGTCCTATGGGTAAATCTATTTTATCCAATACAGCCACTATGAGTTGGAATCGATTCAACGACCATGGGTTTATAAAGTGTCAATAACTATATATGTTGTTGTTATGTACCATGGAGTTGGTTCTGACTCATAGTGACCCTGTACAGGGTTCCTGAGGCTGTAAATCTTTATGGGAGCAGAAAGCCTCATTTTTCTCCTGCGGAGCAGCTAGTAGTTTCGAACTGCTGACCTTGCAGTTCGCAGCCCGATTCTTAACCACTACGCTACCAGAGCTTCTTAATAACTATATACACACTACTTTAATTAACAGAATCCCTATGAGATTGGAATTATCTTTATTTTCCATTTGAGAAAAGAAAGGTTTAGACAAGTTACAGAATTTACCCAGGGACTTCCAGCTGCTGTGATGGAAGGAGAATTCTAATTCAATAAGGATTGTCTCACTTCAAATCACTTGTTTTAACTATAGTTCTCTAACGGTCATTGGGTGTTTTGAGTGTGTGTGTGTGTGTGGAGGGGGACCATGCTTTTCTGTTTTAATTTCTTATTGTTTTACCAAAGATAGACCATGTTTCCCTGAATATGTTAATGTAGTTTTGTGGGTTTTTTTCCAAAACTTTGCCTAGACATGCTATACACCCAGCCTCTGAAGAGATGAAGCTCTGCCCACATGAATACATTGTTTTTGTTTTTGATTTTTCTATTCATTTTAACAACAAAATAGGGAAACAGGCTATTAAAGGAAAACTATTTGACATCTCTACCACCCATCTGTCAGTTTGTCTTACTGTGGTGGCTTGCATGTTGCTACGCTGCTAAAAACGAAGCCACGGACATTTCAAATAATAGCAGGGGCATTGATGATGGACAAGTTTCAATGGAGTTTCTATATACCAAGACAAACTATATACCAAGACAAAGAAAGACCTGGCAATGTACTTATAAAAATTGTTGTTGTTGTTAGGTGCCATTGAGTTGGCACCAACTCATAGCGACTTTATGCACAGCAGATGAAACAATGTCCAATCCTGGGCCAACCTCACTACTGTTGCCACACTTGAGTCCATAGATGCTGCCACCTGGCCAATGCATCTCGTTGGGGGGTCTTCCTCTTTTTCTCTGACCCGCCACCTTACCAAACATGATATCCTTTTCCAGTGACTGTTCCCTCCTGACAATATGTCCAAAGTATGAGAGACAAAGCTTAGCCATCTTGGCCTCTAAGGAGCACTCTGGCTGCACTTCTTCCGAAACAGATCTATTGGTTCTTTTGGTAGCCCATGGAACTTTTAGTATTCTCCTCCAACACCATAACTGAAAGGCATCAATTATTTTAGGGTCTTCCAATTTTTATTCCATCAATTCCTGGTGCCTTGAAAACTCAGTCAATCACAACAGAACCTGTCCAGCTGACTTGCTTCTGATACGTCATTAAGAAGGCCCAGTCATTAGTGGAGGGCATCATACTTGGTGAAGGAGAGGACCAGTAAAATGGACTGGTACACTAGCAACAGTAATGGATTCGTATATACTGGTGGTTGTGAGTTTGATACAGGATCAGGCAACAATTCATTCTGTTGTACTTAAAGTCGCCAAAAGTCAGTGTTAAAATACTGACTTACGGTGACTTTAAGTACAACAGCAACTATCTATTGAAGGGAGTCCTGGTGTGGCTCTGTAGAATAAGCACAAGGTCAGTGGTTCAAACTAACCAGCTTTGTGCTTATTTATTGGAAACCCTATCCAGGGTCATTATGAGTCGGGACCAACTTGACGGCACTTAATATTAACAACCATCTATTGAAGAGGAAGTCCTGGTGTGGCACTGTAGGATAAGTACAGGACCACATGATGGGTTTGAACTATAAGGTACGTGGTTCAAACTCACCAGTTACTCCTTGGAAGCCCTAAATGGGTTCTATTAGCTGGAACTGACTCAATAGCTCTTAACAACAATTTTTTTAAAACTGTTTTATTGTGAATTATGTGATAGTTTACATGGGAGAACATTAGTTTTACATTCATCCTATCGTATATTGTTACATTGCCTTAGTTACAATCCCCTCCATGCATCATCGGCCAACCAAAGGGAATACACTACAAGCCTGTCCCCTGGTCATCAGCACACAGCCCCTCTCCCTCTTTGGGTCTATAGTTCCCAGCTGCGCCTCTCTCCACATCATCTTTTCTGCCTCTATCTCTGGCATCACTTTCTCTGTATAGGGTCCCACACTCCGCTCTTCTCCCTTGATGGTCCCAGGGGCCTCCGCTCTTGGCCTGCAAAGTCAACCACTCCCCTCCTTTTGCTACAAAATATGTACCTTTACATTTCCAACCCTCACAGTCAGTCCTGATAGTAATTATTCACTATTGTACCACATGAGTTCTATCCCCATCTCCTTTTATCAGTCCTGCCCAGACAGATTGGATACTACTCAGTGGAGATTCTGCCTTCCTCCATGCCCTCTGGATCTAGGAACAACAATGTTTTGAAGAGGAGAGAGAGGTCCAATAATTGCTGCCAGGGAACTATGTTTTTGGAGAGATGAGCTATTTAACAAGTAATTATAAAATCTGCTTAGAGGAGCTGAGTGCGAGACCCTATCCAGTGAAGCAGTGATGCCACATTTGGAGGCAGAGATGATGACGTGGAAAGATGGAGCAGTTGGAGACTCTGAACTCAGGGAGGGAGAGGGGCTATGTGCTGATGGCCAAGGGGGCAGGCTTGTGGGGTGTGCCCATTGGTTGTTTGAATGGTTATATATATCTGAGTGGTACATCAAAACAAACACACACACACACACACACACAAAACAGAGGGAATGGAAGCAAATGCTGTTGAATGATGACGCATGAAGGGGATTGTAATCACTGTAATGAAATGAAATACGATAGGATAAATGTAAATCTGATGTTCGCCCATGTAAACTATCACTCAGTTCACAACAACTTGAAAAAAAAAAAAAAAGAAGTCATCCTAATTAACTGAGCAATAAATAAGAACTGATAAAAAAAAAATCTGCTTATAGGTATATCTTCTAACTCATGAGTCAAGCTATGCATCATCTCTCACTTGCACAAGTGTTTTTGTTCTTTTCTGTTACACAGTTCCACAAAGCTACAATTTCCTTTTTCATGGGTGACCTACAGTGAACTTTAAAATGTATTTTCAAAAATCAGTTGAGGGATTAATAAAGGTCAGACAGTGTCCTGAGTGTCTTCCATACATCACTTCTAATCCTTGCACAATCTTCTAAGGTAGCTAGTTCCCTCCATTTTATGTATGAGAATAATTAATGTGGCCAGTTTGCTAACAAATAGAATAGAACTCTAACCCAGGTCTGCCTGGCTCCGGAACATTCACCCAGCCTAAGATCCAAAGTGTTTCTTTGGGAACTCCAGGAGAATCCTGGAGAGTGTGACATTTCAGTCCAAATTTGGGAATGCATGTATCAGAAGACAGAGGAAAGGAATATAACAAACACGTAAGTCTTCCAAAGGAGAATCTACTAATTCTAACATCAGCTTCTTGAGGGAGCAGAGTGTTAACAAAATGACAAGAAAAATAAGTATACATTGGAGTCGTGAACCCGAGCTGACAGGGATAATTTCAGAGCGGTTCACCTTGGAAGGCAACAAGGAAGGATCAGGGCCAAGCACTTGTTCTCATTCACTCTTGGTCTCTATCTCCATGTGAGAGGTTCATGTTCTCAGACACAGTTTCCCCCAAATACCTAGACACCATCTTCACTGCAGTCACCTTTCAGTCAGAGATCCAATTTGCACATTCAGGGACTCCCTTGCATGTATTTACTACATGTAAATGTGTTACACGCTCCTCGGAAACCCTATCTAGGGTCACTATGAGTCAAAACCAACTTGACAGCACTTCACAACAACAATGTGTAAAAGGTGCACTGCTGATGCAATGGTTAAGCATTCCACTACTAACTGAAAAGCTGCTGAACCAAAACCACTCAGTGGTTCCACAGGAGAAAGACCTAGTGATCTGCTTTCATAAAGACTGTTGTTGTACGTGTCGTTGAGTTGGTTCTGACTCATAGCAACCTGCATAGGGAGCGGCTGGTGAGCTGGAACCTCCAGTCTTGTCGTTCAACCCAACTTTGCAGTCCAGTGCTGATCCTATGGCACCCCACTAGGATGTATTTTAGACACCCATAAATCATGTCCCTCCTTTTGAGTTCTTACCATTCTTGCAAATGCTGACATTTAAGACTCCTGAGCCCAGACAGTTTCCTTCAGGTAGACAGAAGCCAGCATTTTCTGAGGTATTGGCTAATATTTCTGCAGGTAACTTATACTTCAAAGCAGGGAGTCCCTGTATATTTTCAAATCCGCTGAATGTTATATACACTGACCTGTTAGGAAACAAGAAACAAACAAGAAACAAGAAACAAAGTCAATGTGGGCTCCGGTCAGTATGTTGTTGTTGTTGTGAAGTGCCATCGAGTCAGTTCCAACCCATAGCGACCCTGTATAGGGTTTCCGAGGAGCAGCTGGTGAGCTTGAACTGCCGACCTTGCAGTTCAAACAGCTTGGCAGCCTGGCGCATTAGCCCACAGCGCTACACCAGGACTCCAGACAGTATAATCTACCCCAAATCAGTGAGTTAGCAACAAGTCTCAAGCACCATCTGGCAAAAAGCTTGCAGGATATGTGTAAAATGAAGATGTAAAAGATAGCTTGAAAAAGCCCAGCCAACTCTTGGTGTAACAAATACGTAGCATTGCTTCCTACTTTCAAAGGTTATGTAAAAAGTCCACCATTTTCTATAGTAAAATTAACATTTTTGAGATTTAGTATATATTAAGGTACCTGGTGTAGTGCTGTTCGATAAGCACTGGACTGCAAACTAGAAGGACGGCAATTCAAACCCACCAGTTGCTCCTTGGAAACCCTATACAGGGTTTGAGTCGGAACTGACTCAATGGCACTTAAACACAACCACAGCACAAACAGTTGAAATTCTTTTATTTAACATCCTGTATGACTTTCCAAAGGAGTTCTGGTAGCGTAGTGGTTACGAATCGGGCTGCTAACCTCAAGGTCGGCAGTTCGAAACTACCAGCTGTTTCGCAGGAGTAAGATGTGGTTTTCTGCTCCCGTAAAGATTTGCAGCCTCGGAAACCCTGTGCAGGGTCATTACGAGTCGGAACCAACTCCACAGTACTTAACAACAACACCATGACTTTCCATTGTATGAATATGTTGTTGTTTGTTGTTAATTGCTGTCCAGTTAATTCCAACGAATGGTGATCTTCTGTACAACACAGCAAAACACTGCCCAATCCAGCACCAACATCACAACTGTAGGTAAGTTTGAGCCCTCTGTTGCCCAAGAACATGCCGTGTGATTTATTTATCCATTCTTTCAATAGGCACTTAGGTGACTTTTAATTTTTCATTACTACAAGTAATGATGCAATGAACATTTCTCTATATGTCTCCTTGAATATACAAGGGCGCTTCAAAAAGTTCATGGAAAATGGAATTAAAAGATAATAGGATTTTTCAATGAACTTTTTGAAGCCCCATTGTATATACATAAGTTCTTCAGGTCAGGAAACCTACCTAGGAGACAACTGCAAAATCATAGTATATGTACACATGGAATCATAGTATACGTACACATAGAATCACAGTATGTGTACACACAGAATCGTTAATATGTGTACACACAGAATCATAGTATGTGTTCACACAGAGTCATAGTATATGTACACATAGACTCATAGTATGTGTACACATAGACTCAGAGTATGTGTACACATAGACTCAGAGTATGTGTACACATAGAATCATAGTATGTGTACACAGAGAATCATAGTATATGTACACAGAGAATCATAGTACATGTACACACAGAATCATAGTATGTGTACACACAGAATCATAGGTATGTGTACACATAGAATCATAGTATATGTACACACAGAATCATAGTATGTGTACATACAGAATCATAGTATATGTACACACAGAATCATAGTACATGTACATACAGAATCATAGTATGTGTACACA